TAAAAAAAAAAAAAAAAAAACTACATGGCTAGTCCCACCATGTTACGAAGTAAGGCACGACTCAACTACCTCCTAACCTACAACCCTAATACTCGACCTCCACATCTTCCTATCAAGTGTCATGTCCTCGGAAATCTGGAGTCTCGCCATATCCTGCCTGATCACCTCTCCCCAATACTTCTTAGGCCGCCCTCTACCTCTTCTCGTGCCCTCCGTAACCAGCTGCTCACACCTCCGTACCGGAGCATCTGGGCTTCTCCTCTGAACATGTCCGAACCATCTAAGCCTCGCTTCCCGCATCTTGTCATCAATGGGAGTCACATGCACCTTTTCCCGAATATCATCATTCCTAATCTTATCTATCTTAGTGTGCCCGTATATCCACCGCAACATCCTCATCTCTGCTACTTTCATCTTCTGGATATATGAGTTCTTAACAGGCCAACACTCAGCCCCATACATCATGGCCGGTCTAACCACCGCTTTATAAAACTTACCTTTGAGTATCGGTGGCACTCTCTTGTCACACAGGACTCCAGATGCTAACCTCCACTTCATCCATCCTACCCCAATACGGTGTGTGACATCCTCGTCGATCTCCCCTCCCCCTAGATAACCGAACCAAGGTACTTGAAGCTGCCTCTACTCGGGATGACCTGCGAATCAAGCCTCACATCCACGCCCACTTCCCCTGGCTCAGCGCTGAACTTGCACTCCAAGTATTCTGTCTTCGTCCTGCTCAGCTTGAAACCCTTAGACTCAAGAGCCTGTCTCCAAACCTCCAGCCTCTCGTTAACACCGGCTCGCGACTCATCAATCAGAACTATGTCATCAATCAGGACTAGTATATTTTAAATATACTAGTCCAAATAAATATTATGGGCTAATATAATTGGATTAATTGTATAAATTTAATATATATGGATTAAATAAATAATTCTTAATCCATTGAGCTAGCCCATTTAATTGGGTTAAAGTAATGAGCCACTTCATTAAGCCCAAGATGTCATTTTCCTAGAGGCCTAGTTTGGTGCCACGTGTCAAATGACGTGGCACGTCAAGTCAAGCAGAAGAGCCAATAGGATCATGCCACGTGTCAAAATGACAAAGCATGCCAAGTCACATTAAAAGGCTAATAAAATCGTACCACGTGTGCAAGTGACATGTTTTTGCCAACCAAATGCGACTATGTCACACTTTTGCAAATACTATAATTGTTGCAATATTTTTCAGTATCGATTATTTTCCTGACGCAAATTTATTGTCTACAAATTATGGCATGCCCAGTGGGACCAAATCTGCCCTTCATCTCTTCTCTCACAGTGAAAAGAATGTGGTGTCTTTTTTGCTGGTACTTCAAGCCTCATCTACGACGATCTTGTAAATCTACTCCCCGACAAGCCTTGAAGGGAGCATTTGTAGACATCAAAATTTTATCGGATCAAATTCATATAAAATTTGGGCAAAATTATAAATTTAAGATACTACAAGTAGAGTCCATCGAGGTTTTCTTGGAGGCCACTCTATCTTAAACCCTAACTTGGAGAGTACTCTACCTGAAATCCTAGCTTGGAGGGTACTTTACCCAAAATCCTTACTACAGCTATAAAAAGGGACCACATATTCCTTGTGAAAGCATCTCGAAATTCCATAAAAATTCATGGAATATTCACAAAGAGATCAAAGACATCAAACATGGTCTTTCAGTGATCAACGGTTGTTCTTCCTTTTCATAGAGATCAAATACATCTTAAGGAAGTTCGCATCATCCCACGTTCGAGAAATACGTTGGTTAAGCCCTCGAATCACGGAGAACGATCTAAAGAGAAGAATCAGGGGAGCAAACATAATTGTACCCGCATCATTTTATCAATAAAATTATGTTTTATTTATTTTATCAATAAAATAATTTGTTGCAAACAGTATTAATATTGTAACAAATAAAGTCGGCTAAAGTAATTTTATTTAGCAAATATAGCATAAGCATAATCCGTCTCAAATTGGGAAAGAATTCCTACCCAAAAGATACATTAAAATTACAGATTTAACCTTAAAAAGATGAGCCGCAGAGAATCGCAGTTGGAACCCAAAAACAGAATATTCCATCCTAAATTGGAGAATTAAGTTCCTCATACTCGAATATTCTCACATATTCACGCGCTTAATTTTCACTTAATCGCCGCGCTAATCAAAACCAATGTATACACCAAAAGGAAAACCTCGGTTTTAGCCGTACGATGATCCGTTCGAATCCCGTGTCTAGAGAATCAAACGGCTAATATTTGCCAGAAGCTAAAAGTAGCAGAACGGTAATGACTTTTCTGGAAAGAAACAAAACTGCAAAAAGGGACTTGAATGGCTTTGCTTTAACGTACCACAAACGGAAAAACCCAATACAGCGTAATATTCCTTGGCATCTTTTTTCCTTTTCCTAATTAAAAAATACATAATTTTTTACAACTCTTTTCCCCTATATAAAGCCCTTCTTCTCCAGGTTTTCTATCACTTCAAGCTCAAACAACTGATTCTGTTCTGAACCCAAAGAAAATACTAGGAAGAAGGAATTTCTCTATCTTTTTTCCTTTCATTCTCTTTAAAAACTGAAAAATGGCCGGAATCGTTGTAGTTTTTGACTTCGACAAGACGATTATTGATTTGGACAGCGATAATTGGGTGGTGGATGAGTTAGGTGCTACTAATTTGTTCAATCAACTTCTCCCTACCATGCCCTGGAATTCTGTCATGGTTAGTTTTCCTTTTCATATTTGCTACATTCTCTTATCTCCAATTTAATGACGTGAATTCCAGTGTATACATCAAATTAAATAATTTAACCAACGTTACAATTTCAAACTACACTATATGCTCATGTTATAAATTAAAGTATATATATGCAAGGCAACATGTCTTGCATTTATTGGTTTGATTTTTTCTAATTTTCCAACTTTTTCACAAATTACAGGACAAGATGATGAAGGAGCTCCATGCACAAGGCAAAACTATTGCGGACATTGAAGAAGTGCTTAAACGGGCACCTATAATTCCCCGTGTGGTACCAGCCATTAAAGCGGCTCATGCTTTAGGGTATGTACCTCTCAATTTTTCAGGCATTTATTTCCTATGTTTTTGGTTAAAAAACATAGTGATTCATGGGCATTAATTAAATCAATGCTTGTTTTTTGTAGGTGTGAATTGAGGGTAGTAAGCGATGCGAATATCTTCTATATTGAGACAATATTGAAGCATTTGGGAATAATGGATTGCTTCTCGGAGATTAATTCAAATCCAGGATATGTTGATGAGGAAGGAAAACTTAGAATCCAACCTTACCATGATTTTCACACTTCCTCTCATGGCTGCAGTCTTTGTCCTCCCAACATGTGCAAGGTAAAACACAACAAAAAACTTAATCTTACTTGATGTCTACACAAATTCAACGATGTTAAAACACGTGTTTTTACATATATTGTTATTACTTAATTATGATCGGGGTAAATTAATATGATTTTGGTGTAAACATCTGATACTAATCTCATAACTTTCTTTTTATGGCTCCAAGCTAGGTTCCGACTTGCTTGTTAGATAGTACTAGAGTAGTAGTTTTCCTAATGTTATTCGAATATGCTGAAATACAGAATTTCTCTTTTGATAATGTAGTATAGTACTTTCATATCAAGCCTACGGCCAGCAAAATTCCTCTTTATATTTTTCTTTTAATCTTTTATATGTATAATATTTAGATTTATAAACAATTAATTTATCCTAATGGATAGGTTTCTTTGTTAATAAACATAACAGGGCCTCATTATAGAAAGAATACAAGCTTCTCTGGCTATGGAAGGGAAGAAAAGAATGATTTATCTTGGTGACGGAGCAGGTGATTTTTGTCCCAGCTTGAAACTCAAAAAGGAAGATTTTGTAATGCCAAGGAAAGATTTTCCAGTCTGGAAATTAATAAATGAAAATCGCGAACTCGTAAGAGCAGAGATCCATGGGTGGAAGGATGGAGAAGAATATGAACATATTCTGCTTCAGATAATCAAAACATTAACAATGGAGGAGAACCAATTGTTATCAGTTGATTGCAAGTTTCAGACAATTCCCATTGAGGCCTTACCAAAAGTTGTCCCTGTGCCTTACTAATATTGAAGCTTTTGATGACTTGCTTTTGATGTCAATAAATTAAAGGATAGTAATGTGTGTGATTTTGAGTGTTGATTGAAATATCAAGAAAGTGATCAACTGACAGCTAACTGATAAAGAGTTGGCTTTGATTAATTACCTGTTCTTTACGGTTTTTGTTGAATCAGAACACCTAAAAAGTTCTCTAGTTTTGAGCCTGTGATTCGGGCTCTATATAATATATTAATATGGTGTAACAATAATAACTACTTGTATCATCTTCCTTACTTTTTAATGTTACCGGATCACGTTAGGGTTTTATTTGTAGGGGTGGCAAATGGTGGTTTGGGTTCAATTTGGGCGGGTCAAGAGCTGAGTAAATAAATGGAGGTATTTTTATCTTTCTATACACTATTTGAAACCTTATTACCCTTCCTACTCAAGTTTCAATTTAATTACATGGTCATATACAACTTACCAATTATATATAAATACGTTTTAAATGAGTATCCCTTTATATTAGAAATTGAATAAGGAATATTAGTTATTTCCTTATCCCTTTATACTTGCCCACTTTTTCTCTCTCTCTCTCTCTCTCTCTCTCTTTCTCTCTCCATCTCTCTACTCTGTAAAAATAGCACGGGCTAGCCTGTTTTCGGACTGGTAATTCAAAAATAGCCATTGTTTGCAAAGTTATTGAAAAATAGCCACTATTTTGCTGCAACACGGACCGGTCCAGCATAATATACTGGAGATTGGTGCAGCTGTGTATGAACTTCCAGCATATTATGCTGGAACTCCAACAAGCAGAAAGTTCCAGCATAATATACTGGAGATTGGTGCAGCTGTGTATGAACTTCCAGCATATTATGCTGGAACTCCAACAAGCAGAAAGTTCCAGCATAATATACTGGAGATTGAAGTACCTGTGTATGAACTTTTAGCATATTATACTGGACCAGTATATTATACTGGAACTCCAGTATATTATGGTGGAATATTTCCGAATTTTGAACAGTGTTTTCGTTCAGATTTATCTTTACATTAAAAATTGGCTAAATTTCGATTACTTTTGAAACTGTGGCTATTTTTCAATTACCACTTGTAAATCTGGCTATTTTTGAATTTCTCCCCTCTACTATCCCCCCCCATTTTTTCTTAATTTGATGTTCTCTGTTTTTTATGCTTTCTTGTTGTATAGAGTTTTAATGGAATTTATCAATAAATTTCAATCGTTTTAACTTAGCAATTTACTTTCATGTTGTACAATTGGTGTTCAAATTGAAATTGCCAATCAATAAATTTTGAAGGTGTTTGACTCTCCACCATTGACAGCCATTAAAAAGCTTTGAAGCTTTGAAATCGAATTTGGGATTTCAAAAACCATTATTTGTTTGGATTGGGTGTTTTGCAAACAATTGAGAATATTGTTTGGAGTTTATCTCTCAATTTTGAGGGTGTTTTGGTGAAGATTAGACTTGATTTTGGCTGAATTTCAAATTGAAA